AAGTGGCACAGTGGTGAGCAGCAGAGAAAAGGCCTCTAGGTGGCTTGCTGAGATTTGAAGAGCACTAGGCAAGCAAAAAGTCACCTCAACATAAGTGCAGTAGGCAGCATCTGTTGAAATGAGAAGACAGGTAAACAAGTCTCAGAAGCAGACTTCCAGATCACCTAAGGAAACCCGAAAGGGCAACAAGATGGAACAATCGGATACTCAACCACCGGGACTCCCTGAACTGGCAATGAAAGAGGATCCAGAAAAAATGAAATCAGAAATAATTTCTCAGTTAACAACAGAGATTGTGTCCATAGTGCAAGAAATGATTAATAACTCTGGAGCAAAACAAAACAACAAAAAAAAAAAACTCTAGAGCAGACACAGATTTTTAAAAAGAGGAGATGAGGAACTTGATGGAATCCCAGCATAGGAAACAAATGGAATCCATAAAGTAGATGCAAACAGATATCCAGGAAGTAAAAAACTCCAATTGATAGTTTATGCAGCAGAATGAGCCAGTGTGAGGACAGAATATCAATATAGAAGACAGGATTGCAATTAGTGACCAAGAAAAGAAAAATTTCTTAAAAATAGTAAAGGACCATGAGAAATCAATCCAGCAGCTGCTAAACAATGCAAAAAAGAACAACATAATACTGATCAGAGTCAATGAAGAAACAGGAGAGAGTGCAAATGACATTTAAAAAAACTGTTCACAGAAGTGATGGAAGAAAACTTCCCAAGCAGGGGAAAATAACCTGACATACAGATAAGTGAGGCATATAGTACTCCAACCAGCCATGATTAATCAAAATAAAATCTAAACCTAGGTATATAATAGTTAAGATTTCAGAAACCCAACAGAATAAAATTCTACAAGCACTTAGAGAAAAGAAACAAATCACATACAAAGGAAAGTCCATCAGAATCACAGCAGACTTCTCAACACAAACCCTCAAGTCAAGAAGACCCTAGAGTGAATCATTTCAAGTTCTAAAAGAAAACAATCTCCAACCCAGATTGATGTACCCTGCAAAACTATCTTTCAAAATTGATGGAGAGGGCCAGGGATTTAGCTCAGTGGTTCTGCCTCCTGCCTTGCAAGTACAAGGTCCTGAGTCCAATCCATGGTATTCCCCCCACAAAAAAAGGATGGAGAAAGAAGAGCACCTAAGGAACTTCATGAATACTGAACCAGTACTGCAAAAAATTTTAAACAATATTCTAGGAAAAGGCAATGATGATCACAACCCCAGGAAGCCCAGCAGAATGAATCCATCAGGCATAAGAAGAAATTAAATGCAAAGGGGGAGAATCCAATAAAAAGAAAAAGCTGTGACAAGGATAAGTCAATACACATATCAGTTATAACCATCAATGTTAATGGTCTAAATTCACCAATCAAAAGAAATAAACTGGCAGAATGGGTCAAGAAGCATGATCCAACAATATACTGCATACAAGAAACACACTTAATTCAAAAAGAAACTCACAGGCTAAAAGTTAGAGGGTGGTAACTCCATGTTACAGAAACAACAACAAAAAAGCAGGAATAGCTATCCCTATTTGCAGAGCAAATGGATTTCAAACCAACACTAATTAAGAGAGACAAAGAAGAACACTACATCCTTGGGAAGGGAAAAATCCAAGAGGAAGAGATGACAATCATAAATACATATGTACCAAATACTAGTGTACCCAACTACATAAAACAAATATTAAAGGACATGAAAAATCAAATAAGCATTAATACAATAGCCTCTTTAATAAATGGTGCTGAAAAAAATGGGTTTCCACTTGCCCAAGATTAAAACTAGACCTATATCTCTCACCATGCACTAAACTAAAATCAAAATGGATTAAAGATCTAAATATTAAAACAAATACTAAATCAGCTGGAAGAGAAGTTAGGTAGAACACTTGAAGACATTGGCGTAGGAAAATATTTCATGCACAAAACCTCAGCTGCATGTGAACTAGCACAAAAAATCAACAAGTGGGATCTCTTCTTATTAAAAACCTTTTGCGCTGGGGATTTAGCTCAGTGGTTCTGCTGCCTACCTCACAAGCACAAGGACCTGAGTTCAATCCCCAGTATAAAAACGAAACAAAAAACCTGCACAGCAAGAGAAACCATCAACAGTGTGAAGAGACAACGCAGTGTGGGAAAAATTTTTTACCAGCTGTCCTCAGACAAAGGTCTACTATCTAGAATATATAAACAACTTTTTAAAAGTCGGACCTCCCTTTTTTTTTTTTTTTTTTTTTTTTTTTACCGGGGATTGAAATCCGGTACTTGTGCTTGCAAGGAAGGCCACCGAACCGCTGAGCTAAATCCCTGGCGAGACCTCCCAAGTTTAAAGACCCAATCCAAAAATGGGCATCTGAAATGAAGACATTTCTCAGACAAAGAAGTAGAAAAAGCAAATAAACATATAAAAAGTGTTCGACATCACTGTTCATTCAAGAGATGCAAATGAAAACAGTGAGATTCCACCTCACCCCAGAAAGAATGGCTGCTATCAAGAAATCAACCAATAACAAATGCTGGTGGGGCTGTGGGGGAAAAGGAACCCCAATCCACTGTTGGCGGGAGTGCAGACTGGTGTAACCACTGTGTAAGTCAGTATGGAGATACCTCAAAGAACTAGGATTAGAAATCCCATTTGACCTATTTCTCTACTGGGTATCTTCCCAAAAGAATTAAAAGATTAATACCACAGCTATATATGTGCACCCATGTCACAGCAGCACAGTTGTAATAGCTAAAACTTGGAAAGAGCTCAATTGCCCATCAACTGAAGACTGGATAAGGAAAATGTGGGTTTTTAAAAAATAAAGTGGAATACTACTCAGCCATAAAGAATGAGAAACTAGAGACATTTATAGCTGAATGGATTCACACTGAGATGATACTCAAGTGAAATAAATAGGACACATATGTGTAAATACCTAATAGTTTCTCTCATGTGAGAAACTCAAAGTGTAAATAAGGATCTAAAGGAATAATAGATAATGTAAAATAGGAAGAAAAGGTCCAAAGGGGAAGAGGAAGAGGAAGGAGTTGGGGAAAGGAAAGAGGGGTATGGAATTAATATGAGAAAAGGGAAAAATGGAAACAAAGTCTTTGTAAATAGGGAGGGGTGGAGGGATTGAACGGAGGGCAGGGGAATGAGGAAAAATAAGAACCAAGATCGATTATATAAAGGTACAAATTTCCTTTTCTTTTCTTTTTCTTTTTTCTTTTTTTTTTCTGGGAATTGAACTCAGAATCTTATCTTGCCAGGCCAGCGCAGCACCACTGAGCCACATCCTCAGCCCCTAAAGGTACAAATTTCCAATGATGAGTGTCATTATATCATATACCTAAAATATACCAATGAAATTAATAAAAAAGACAATAAGGAGGGACTTTATTCAAGGAAGAATTATTCAGCACAGATATAGGGTGCACTATAATGGGACTGTTAATCCTTATACTGGGTGTCCCGCGAAACCTCATGTGCTCATAGGTGGGGCTTTGGGGAAGTGACTGGATCATGGGTGTGTGATCCTGGATCAGTCCACTGATTGGTTTAGCATAGGGTGTGGGTCAGGACTGGGGATTTATTTCAGTGGTACTGTTGCCTGCCTAGCATAGGGTGTGGGTGATGGATTTACTGAAGAGGGAAGACCCACCCTGAGTGTGGTTAGCACCAACCAATAGGCTTGCAGCCTGGGTGGAATAAAAAGGGAAAGAAGAGAGATTTGCTATTTCCTCCCTGCCACGCCTGGGACTGTTTCTCCTCTGCCATGCTCATCCGCCATGCTGCCTTGCCTTGGAGCCAGCCGACTATCGACTGAAACCTCTACAAACTGAGCTAAAATAAACCTCTCCTCCTTTAACTTGAGGGTGTTGCGTATTTTGTCCCAGCAACAAAAAAGTAAGACAGGAACCTTGCAGTAGGGAACAGAGATTGGTCTTAGCTTCAAATATATCACAGGCAAGTGAAGACATGAAGGAGTTCCAAAGCCTGAAAGTAGAACAGGTTTTAGCTGTCAGTATTGGTGAAACCTGTGGCAGAATGATTGGTTGTGAAGGTGTAGAAATCCCTCCCCAAGCCAGGCCGTGCGCTTTCTCCTGCCCCTGCTGCAGAATCCAAACAGAGATGGAGAATGGCAACAAACCATGCTATCACTTCTTGACAAATGCACGCACATAGTAAAGAAACAGAATTTTAAAATATTAAAATGCCCACAAGGTTTGGCTTCAGCGCAAATGTATATTTTTCCAGGCAATCTTTATAATAGACTAACTTTCAAAAAACAAAAAAACAAACAACCATGGGTAAACTCCAAATGTATGCATGTGCTCTGCTTCCCCAAATTCCCAAACTTGGCAACTGTCAGGGCCCAATCTGGCCGGGATTGGAGTGCTCAAAGAGCCAAACCTCTAGATATGGCGGCACAAGCATTCTGGTAGGCTGAAGCAGGAGGGTCACAAGTTCCAGTTCAGCCTGGGCAATCTGGCAAATTAGTGAGACCCTGTCTCAAAATAAAAAAGGACTGAGCATACAGCTCAGGGCAAAGGCCCTAGGTTCAAGCCCCAACACCAAAAGAGAAGAAGAAGAAAGAAGAAAGAAGGAGAAGGAGGAGGAGAAGGAGAAGAAGAAAAGAATCAAAGCCTTGGTGGAAGTCACTATACTAGAAGACCCTGGATATTTGAAACAGAATTAATACCCCCATGCTGGAGAAAAGAGTAATCAGATTGGGATGAACACACCCCAATCCCCCACCCCTTACCCCACGCCACTCCCGACTGAAGAAAAGGAAGAAAGTGGGAGCCAAACCACCTGCTGCTCTTCGCTCCCAGTGGAAGATTGTTGTGAGTACCCTGGGAGAAGCCACAGGGCTAGCCTCGTTGCCTGGCAACCTGCCCCGTGGGCTGTTCCCGCGGGAGATGCCCCATGGTGACGTGAGACGCGGGGTGCACGTCGGGACCACGAGCCAGTGGGCTGAGCTAGGCGGTTCCTGAAGGCTCGGACTCAGAACAGGTTGGGTCCTTGCTGGTTGCCACTGGTAGGACTGGGCAGCCGTTGGCTGCCGCACAGACATGTTGGGGTGGGGTAAGTCCTTCCCGCGTTCTAAAGTTCAGCTTTCCAAGGCTTCCAGAATTGACATAGACGCCTCGGTGGATGCCTATGTTTTAAGTCTGTGTTTTGTAAGAAACGTATCACAATGAAAAGTCAGTTCCAAGCCAGGCGCGGTGACGCACGCCTGTAATCCCAGCATTCAGGAGGCTGAAGCAGGATCTCCGCAAGTTTGAGGCCAGCCTGGGCTACATAGTGAGACCTTGTCTCAAAAAAAAGGTCAGTTCCAGCCTGGAGGTGTGACGTATGTATTGGCTAGCAAATGATCCCATCCCAGTTGCAATCCCGTTTTCCCCACCACCATGGCACTGGGGATTGACCCAGAGCCTTTGCACAGAGCTGCAACCGCAGCCCTTATTTTTATTTTTTATTTTGAGATAGATAGCATCTTCTACAGTCGCTAAGTTGCCCAGGCTAAACTTCAACTGCCTCAGCCTCTGGTTCATAACTTCTGGGGTTACAGGGATACGCTGTCATGTCCAGCTTCCGGTCATTCTTGGCCTTTGCCGTGTGGGATTCCAGTGTGCGGTGCCTCTCCTTTGACCATTTATTTGATCTCTGCCTGGTTCATCTCTTCCCCGGTTTCTGCTCCACGACTCATCACCATGTCTTAGTTCTCCACGCTTTCTTCTGGCCATGGCACACTTTGAAAGGATGTTGGTATTCATTATCTCAGTTACACAAGATGTTTACATGGCCTCAGGCTTTCCACTTCCTGCTGGACTTGCAGTAGTATTACTGGGGAGATTTTAAAAATTTTTTTGAGGACCAGGGATTTAGCTCAGTGGTGCTGCCTCCTGCCTCACAAGCACAAGGTCCTGAGTTTGATCCCCAGTACAAAAAAAAAAAGTTTTTTAAAACAATCTCATTATGTACTTCAGACTGGCTTCTAACTCACTATGTAGCCCAGCCTGGCCTCCAACTCACAGTGATCCACCTGTCACAGCTTCCCAAGTGCTGGAATTAGAGGAGTGTGTGCCACCATACCCAGCTGGAAGATTAAATAGATGATTCCATGTCACACATGTGGGAGAGCGTGTGCCACGAGTGCACAGTGGTGGTAGTTGTGATAGCCCTCAATTTTGCCATCACTTCTGCCTTGGTGAAAGACAACCCAAGCTGTCTGTGGCCTTCACCACAGCAGGGGAGTCAGATTCCTGCTAGCTTCTGAGTAAGGATGAAACTTCCACTCCTGTAGGAGCCATGGGTGCTCACCATGAACCATGCCCTGTGTCAGGGGACAGCTAGGCAAGACTGTTTTAGAGATCACAGGCTAGAGAAGGTGATCTATATGCGAGTGAGTGCAGTGGATTGAATGTAATGAAAATAGTCTGTACAGGGTATAGTGGGGACACCAAGGTGACAGGTCCTATTTGGGCTGAGGGCAGTTTCACGGAGGTGGTGACAGGAACAAAGTAGGTTCCCCAGGGTGAGTCAATTCTGAAATGTGAGTCAGGAGGAAGATAGCATAGTGTCCCTGTCATCTGTGTCACAGTATGCGGTGGATTGAAGATGTGTCTAAAGAAAATGATCCAGACCAAATTTGCAAGGTCTTTTGTGACTTTGGTCACATTTGCAGTTTTGTCTGTTGTATTAATACCTGCACACTGATGATCTGTATGTTTTTTTTCTTCTCGTATTGGGGATGTAACCCAGAGGTATACACCAAGCTACATCCCTAGCACTTTTTAATTTTCTTGTACATCTTTCGTCCCTACTAAACATCAGAGAACCCGTCTTTTCCACCTTTAATCTCTTTAACATGTCATAACAACAGGATGAATAAATCAAAGAATGAGTGGCCAGGGCAGCTGAGCTAGGCCCAGGTCTGGACTGGTAGATTACCAGGTTGTTAAAACTGGTGGTTAATCCACATAATTTAAAATTCACAGGGTTGTGCAGCCATCAGCCCAATGAAATTTTAGAATATTTCTTGTCACAAAAAAACCCCTGTAATCACAAGTAATCTTTACTCCGCCCCTCAACCTCACTTCCAGGTCCTAAGCAACCACTGATCTTTCTCAGTCTCCCAAATTTAACATTTATTTGATTGATCACAAATCCTCAAAACTTACTGATATCTGGACTATAATGTGCAGCTTGGTAGATAATTATCTGATGTTGTTACTTATGCTATGTTGCAGAATCCAAGAGACAGGAGAGACCACTGGGAAAGGAAGGTTTTATTTTACAGATGGACTCCTGTCCAAAGGGCTGATCCCTGAACAAAGGAAGGGCTCCAGTTTTCATACATTCTGTCCAAGGGGTTGGGACAACACAGTACAAAGGCAGCTACTCAGTGACAGTTTACAGCTTAGCCTTGAAAGCAAAACAGATATCGGGAATTCCAGGATGTCACAGGATCCTGTTCACAGGAACACAGTTGTCAACCTTATTTGCATCTCTTGAGAGAAAACAGCTTTTAAGATGTCACAGCACTTTATAGGTCTTTATAATTGTCCACTTTATCAGCAGCACACCACCAGAGATGAGGTCAGCCTTGAAGGAAGGCAGATTTCTGAGAAACCAGGACATCTATAGGACTCTGCAAGAATTTTGTTACTTATCTGTAACAGAGGTCAGCAGAGGAGGAGGAATCTGAGAGGGAAACCGTGTTAAGCTGGGAGAAACCTTAAGAAAGACTTTCTTCCAAGTTTTGCTTCACTATAGGCACTCAAATTTGGGGACTGAAGCAGTAGCTTCATGTCATATCTTCAGTTTGTTAGAACTAGACCCACATTTGACAAGGGTGGTTGGTTTGGTAGATAGCTGTATGTAATTTGGCAGAAAACGGTAAATAAAACACAACTCTGATAGCAACTGTGACAAGTGCCTTCCAGCACTTTGCTGGAGAAGCGTTTAACCCCTAGAAAATGCTTTTTTAAAAATGTGTTTATTTAGGTTAACCCTTAAAAGTATGGAGAATTACCAATTCAGCGGCGCTCCTATATTTCTTTATTTTGGGTACTGAGTATCGAACCTAGGGCTGTCAAAGTGAGTTACATCCCCGTTCCTAGCACACACACCCCCCTCCTCTTTTTTTTAACACAGAGTCTCGCTAATTTGCCCAGGCTGAGCTCGAACCTACGGTCCTCCATCCTCATCTTTCCAGAGTGCTGGGGTTACAGGTGTGCGGCAACATCAGGGAGGTGCTTTCCCATTTAACGCGATTCTTCCACAGGACCACGCGAAGGCCATGCGGGAGACCTTGAGAGCTCCGAGGGCCATGCAGGATGCGTTTTTTCAAAAGCAGTCGGTTCTCTGGCGTCGCCAGGCAGCCGTGTCTTCCAGGAGTCGCGCGCAGTGACGTATCCGGCGCGTGGTGACGCGCACGTAGCGCGGTGCACGCTGGGATATTTAAGTCTTCTCCGCGGCGCGGAGCCGCGATGTCTCCGGCGGTTGCGGCGGCTGGAGGAGGCGAGCGGCGTCGTCCCATAGCGAGTGCCAGGGACGG